TCTGTAGCATTTCTCATATTATATGTAGATGACATACTTTTGATGGGAAATGATATAGAGCTTTGGGACAACATTAAGGCCTACTTGAATAAGAGTTTTTCAATGAAGGACCTTGGAGAAGCTGCTTATATATTAGGCATCAAGATCTATAGAGATAGATCAAGATGCCTCATAGGTCTTTCACAAAGCACATACCTTGATAAAATATTGAAGAAGTTCAATATGAATCAGTCTAACAAGGGGTTCTTGCCTGTGTTGCAACGTGTGAAATTGAGCTCAGCTCAATGTCCGACCACGGCAGAAGATATAGAAGAGATGAGTGTCATCCCCTATGCCTCAGCCATAGGTTCTATTATGTATGCCATGCTGTGTACCAGACCTGATGTAAACCTTGCCGTAAGTTTGGTAGGTAGGTACCAAAGTAATCCTGGCAAGGAACACTGGATAGCGGTCAAGAATATCCTGAAGTACCTGAAAAGGACTAAGGAAATGTTTCTCGTTTATGGAGGTGACGAAGAGCTTATCGTAAAGGGTTACGTCGACGCTAGCTTCGACACAGATCTGGATGACTCTAAGTCACAAACCGGATACGTGTATATTTTGAATGGTGGGGCTGTAAGCTGGTGCAGTTGCAAGCAGAGCGTCGTGGCGGGATCTACATGTAAAGCGGAGTACATGGCAGCCTCGGAGGCAGCGCATGAAGCAATTTGGGTGAAGGAGTTCATCACCGACCTAGGAGTCATACCCAATGCATCGGGGCCGATCAGACTCTTCCGTGACAACACTGGAGCTATTGCACTTGCCAAGGAGCCCAGGTTTCACAAGAAGACCAGGCACATCAAGCGTCGCTTCAACTCCATTCGTGAAAATGTTCAAGATGGAGACATAGATATTTGTAAAGTACATACGAACCTGAATGTAGCTGATCCGTTGACTAAACCTCTCCCTAGAGCAAAACATGATCAACACCAGAATTCCATGGGTGTCCGATTCATCACAATGTAACTAGATTATTGACTCTAGTGCAAGTGGGAGACTGTTGGAAATATGCCCTATAGGCAATAATAAAAGGATTATTATTATATTTCCTTGTTCATGATAATTGTCTTTTATTCATGCTATAATTGTGTTATCCGGAAATCGTAATGCATGTGTGAATACATAGACACCAACATGTCCCTAGTAAGCCTCTAGTTGACTAGCTCGTTGATCAACAGATAGTCATGGTTTCCTGACTATGGACATTGGATGTCATTGATAACGAGATCACATCATTGGGAGAATGATGTGATGGACAAGACCCAATCCTAAACATAGCACAACATCGTATAGTTCGTTTGCTAGAGTTTTTCCAATGGCAAGTATCTTTTCCTTAGACCATGAGATTGTGTAACTACCGGATGCCGTAGGAGTGCTTTGGGTGTACCAAACGTCACACCATAACTGGGTGACTATAAAGGTATATTACGGGTATCTCCGAAAGTGTCTGTTGGGTTGACATGGATCAAGACTGGGATTTGTCACTCCGTATGACGGAGAGGTATCTCTGGGCCCACTCGGTAATGCATCATCATAATGAGCTCAAAGTGACCAAGTGTCTGGTCACGGGATCATGCATTACTGTACGAGTAAAGTGACTTGCCGGTAACGAGATTGAACGAGGTATTGGGATACCGACGATCGAATCTCGGGCAAGTAACGTACCGATTGACAAAGGCAATTGTATACGGGGTTGCTTGAATCCTCGACATCGTTGTTCATCCGATGAGATCATCGAGGAGCATGTGGGAGCCAACATGGGTATCCATATCCCGCTGTTGGTTATTGACCGGAGAGCCATCTCGGTCATGTCTACATGTCTCCCGAACCCGTAGGGTCTACACACTTAAGGTTCGATGACGCTAGGGTTGTTGAGATATGAATATGCAGTAACCCGAAAGTTGTTCGGAGTCCCGGATGAGATCCCGTACGTCATGAGGAGTTCCGGAATGGTCCGAAGGTGAAGAATTATATATAGGAAGTGCAGTTTCGGCCATCGGGAGAGTTTCGGGGGTCACCGATATTGTACCGGGACCACCGAAAGGGTCCCGGGGGTCCACCGGGTGGGGCCACCCATCCGGAGGGCCCATGGGCTAAAGTGGGGAGGGGAACCAGCCCATAGTGGGCTGGTGCGCCCCCCTTGGCCCACCCCATGCGCCTAGGGTTGGGAACCCTAGGGTGGGGGGCGCCCCACCTGGCTTGGGGGGCACTCCACCCCTTGGCCGCCGCCCCCCCTTAGGAGATCCCATCTCCTAGGGCCGGCGCACCCCCTAGGGGGCCTATATAAATGGGGGAGGGAGGGGCAGCCGCACCCTTGACTCTTGGCGCCTCCCTCTCCCCTGCTACACCTCTCCCTCTCGCAGAAGAACGGCGAAGCCCTGCTGCGGTGACTGCTGCATCCACCACGACGCCGTTGTGCTGCTGGATCTTCATCAACCTCTCCTTCCCCCTTGCTGGATCAAGAAGGAGGAGACGTCACGCTGACCGTACGTGTGTTGAACACGGAGGTGCCGTCCGTTCGGCGCTAAGATCTCCGGTGATTTGGATCACGTCGAGTACGACTTCCTCATCTCCGTTCTTTGAACGCTTCCACACGTGATCTACAAAGGTATGTAGATGCAATCCGATCACTCATTGCTAGATGAACTCATAGATGAATCTTAGTGAAACCGTAGGAAAATTTTTGTTTTCTGTAACGTTCCTCAACAAAAAACAATTTATATTTCTTAGGCTAATCCACATTCAAAATAGACACGTTATTTATTCACGGTCTGGTCCAGACTCGTTGGCGGACACGGATATCAAAGTCGGGAATTCACTCATGTCCCTTAAATGTCCGTCCCTGTGTTTTCGTGTTCTCAACACTCAAAATAATTATAAAAAATAGCACAATTCATCCATAACTAACATGCAAATGTACTTACTATAACAATAATTCAAATGTAAATGTTCCATCCAAAATAACCAGATGTTCAACAAGTTATTTGAATTCATCGATTTCAAATTCAATGATACTTGAGTCCGAATCCACACATGTCGTCGCACGCACAGTGTGCCTTGAGCTTCATCCAATAGTGTTTGAACGTAAATGACCTGCCCTCTGTCCTGTGGTACAATACAGCAACCCATCCGCGCAATCAAACATGATGATTATCAAGTTACTACATTGAGTTAATCAATGAATTGACCAACAGGTAGAGCAACAAGAGGCAAAATTATGATCCCAATGGTTGGCGAGCTCCGTGGCCACCTTCTCTCCTCCTGTGCAATCACACTATAAAATTTCATGACAAAGTTGGAGATGATGTACCACCGATGGGCTAGTGATTTCACATTGCTTTCACGGGTCACCTGCAAGTCGTAGGGCGTGAAGTGCTTTTGCTCATGAAACGAAACATGCATGTTTTGCTACAAAATCAAGCCCCTTGCCTAATGCCTACAAAATCCGTATATACGACCTTCCACGCATCACACATAAACTCTCTTCCATCACTAAGTACCCTGTCATCGCGCTTACTCTAGAAAACCACAAGAAGTTCAATAAAAGAAGTTGAATGCCATTTTAGCAAACACCTGCAGGCGTGGTTTCCGCCATGGACGACATTGGCAGGGGACGGAGGGTACCTGCGTATGGACGGATCCTAGATTTATGACGACGATGTAGTCCAAGGCAGGCAGACACATGTGTGGGAGTTGCGGACGTCCAACATTTCCGGGCGGCGGCCAGAGAGGTACACCGACGAAATCGAAAGAGGAGAGTGTGGATGTAGAGCAAGGGGCGCAATGGAATGTCGTGGCGGTTCGGACGCCGTAAAACTACCTCCAGCTTGCGTCCAGTTGGCGAAATTTCGGACAAGTGGACGCATCTGCGGACAAATACTTAGATGGAAAACTACATCCAAACAACTCAGTTCGAACATACGCGGGGTTTTGCGGGTGCAGATGCCCTTACTACTTGTTCTAGTTCTATGATCCGGTCTTTGCAATTTTAGCTTTTGACCTCCCTCCAAAGGTTTTTAATTTCATAAACAAAATAATTTCAGACCTCACCAAAACATCCGAATTTCAGAAAGTCAACATATTTTGAAAATGTTTTGGATATTTAGATTTCAAATCTTAAGCTAATTTAAAATCCTTTTGAAATTATGTTGAATCTGGCTCGGAATTTCGGGGTTACAAATATTTCGGGCCCCACCTAGTTACGCGAAATTTAATTGGAATTTTTAACCCTGCTCCCTCCACATTATTTGTGCGCGGGTCTTATTATACGGCTATTTCATTGCTTAGGAGTTAAGACCAGAAATAAAAAGGAGTTAAGACCAATATTCTTTACCCAATTGGAGAAAGCTAATTGTGACCCTTTTAACAACGGGGAAATGGCAGTGCACCGGCCCCTGGAGGGGAATGGAGTCATGGCCGCAGCGCGTTGGACCGCGTCAATCGACCTCCCAACCGCTCCGGCTCGTGCTCACTGGCGCGCGCCATTAAAGCGATGAGCACAGCAATGCCGCCCGCTTCTAGATTCCCAGAAAAAGAAAACCAGGCTCGCTAGCCATGCCCATGGCCAGCTTGCTGCCGCCGGTACACAGTACAATACCAGTGGCGTACTACTCCTCCTCGTCCGCGTCCGCATTAAAGGACACACACCGGAGCTCGCATTCATGGCTCCTTTCAGATGGTAGATGGCTCGCATTTACGCCCGCCACAGTACTCTCGTCTCCCCCCGTCTCGCCCCGGCCCGCTATATATCGCTCCACCCACTCCGCCATTGACGACACTCCTCACCTCCCTAGCTAGCTAGCTCACCCATCGAGCTACTTCCTAGGTACGTACATACACGGCCCACACTCACTGCATGTCATTCCTCGTCCTCCGGTAGCCAGCTTAGCGGGAGACATCGATCGGCCTCCAGGGACAGGGATCGGGATCGTGCGCTGGTCGGGCTCGAAGAGGGGGGCAAGATGGACGTCAACGACGTGCTGCTGCTGGCGTCGGCGGTGGTGCTGGGGCTGGTGTGGTGGCGGCGGTGCTCCAAGACGGGCGGCGTCGACAGCCTCCCCCCGGGCCCGCCGGGGTGGCCGGTGGTGGGCAACCTCTTCCAGGTGATCCTGCAGCGCCGCCCCTTCATGTACGTCGTGCGCGACCTCCGGGAGAAGTACGGGCCCATCTTCACCATGCGCATGGGCCAGCGCACCCTCGTCATCGTCACCGACGCCGACCTCATCCACGACGCGCTCGTCAAGCAGGGCCCCATGTTCGCCAGCCGCCCGGCCGACAGCCCCATCCGCCTCCTCTTCAGCGTCGGCAAGTGCACCGTCAACTCCGCCCCCTACGGCCCGCTCTGGCGCGCGCTCCGCCGGAACTTCGTCGCCGAGATCGTGTCGCCGCAGCGGGTCAAGGGCTTCTCGTGGATCCGGGAGTGGGCCATGGGCAACCACCTCCGCCGGATACGCGCCGAGCACGCCAAGACCGGCGCCGTCCGCATGATGGCCAGCTGCCGCCTCACCATCTGCAGCATCCTCATCTGCATCTGCTTCGGCGCCAAGATCCCCGACGAGCTCATCGTGGAGATCGAGGAGGTGCTCAAGGACGTGATGATGATCTCCCTGCCCAAGCTCCCGGACTTCCTGCCGCTCCTCACGCCGCTCTTCCGGAGGGAGCTCGCCGAGGCCAAGAACCTGCGCCGGCGGCAGCTCGACTGCCTGCTGCCGCTGGTGCGCGCGCGGCGGGAGTTCCTCCGGACCGGCGGCAACGCGTGCAAGGCGGACGGGGAGGGGAACAGGGTGATCGGCGGCGTGGAGATGATGAGCCCGCCCGGGGAGGCGTACGTGGACTCGCTGTTCGACCTGGAGCCGCCGGGCAGAGGGAAGCGGCTCGGCGAGGAGGAGCTGGTCACGCTCTGCTCCGAGGTGATGAGCGCCGGCACCGACACCAGCGCTACCGCGCTGGAGTGGGTCATGATGCACCTCATCCTCGACCCGGCGGCGCAGGAGAGGGTCTACGACGAGGTCGTCGCCAAGGCCGGCAAGACCGCCCGGATCACCGAGGCCGACGTCGAGGCCTTGCCCTACCTGCAGGTGATTAATCCACTCTTTCCAATTCTATCGTACTCTACATTTTGACATCATCAACACTTGGGCCAGATTAATTAACTTAGCAAATTGCTTTACTACATGGTTGATGCAAGCTCCTTTGGGCAAGTCAATTCTACGAAATTGCTGCCCTTAAAGTAGACATTTGGCATTACCCTTGATAGAAGTCCACTTTAGCACTATGACACATCAGCAACATGAACTGATAATCACAAATAAGTTGATCTATCAGCTAATTAATCAACTAAACTTTCACAGTTTGTGATTGGAACACAAGCATCACACCATCACCATCAGTCGATCGGTCCCATCTTTGCTTTCCTTTTCCTGTTTAAGGACCATCACCACACCTGCGAACCAAGATTGCGGCTACTAATTAAGGATAGTTGACGTAGGGATTAATCTAAGCAGACACTCCTGCAGCTGGCCACTCAAGTGTAGCTGGTGTTCAAATGATCACTCACGACCGATGATTTGGACACGAAAACAGCTATGAAAATGACGTTCGCTACCTCATCATCAGTGAGCCAGGGTCAACTGAAAGCGACCCACAGAGTACTATTACATTCAAAAAAGAAAGATCCAATTTTCGGCGCCTGCAGCCCAGCAATTTTCGGTGCCAAATTTCTGGCGGCGGCGTACGTGGCTAAATATTTTGTTGATCGCAGGCGGTGGTGAAGGAGACGTTCCGGCGGCACCCGCCGAGCCACTTCGTCCTCTCGCACGCGGCGACGCGGGACACCGAGCTGGGCGGGTACCGGGTGCCGGCGGACGCGAGCGTGGAGTTCTACACGGCGTGGGTGACGGAGAACCCGGAGACGTGGCCGGACCCGGACGCGTGGCGGCCGGAGCGGTTCCTCGAGGGCGGCGAGGGCCACGACACCGACATCACCGGCACCCGCGCGCTCCGCATGATGCCCTTCGGCGCCGGCCGCCGCATCTGCCCCGCCGCCACGCTCGGCGTGCTCCACATCCAGCTCACGCTCGCCAACATGATCCGCGAGCTCCGGTGGACTCCCCCCGCCGGCGAGGGGCCGCCCGACCCCACCGAGACCTTCGCCTTCACCGTCGTCATGAAGAACTCGCTCCGGGCCGGCATCGTCGAGCGCAACCAGCCGCCGCCGGTGGCCGCGCATTGATTGCCTCCGTCCACCCAGAATGCACGGCGCGGCGCGGCGCGCACGTACCCCACGTCACGGATAGGTGGTTAATGGCGGGGTGTCATGCCTCATCAAGAAGATATAGATAAAATACTGCGGCGTGACATCGGATCTGCTAGTGGCTGCTGCTCGTTGGACATCGTGATGCAATGCGACGTCTCTTAAATTTTAGCGTCATGTTATTTATTTTCTTCTCTTCTCTTGATTAGTGCTCGATCCCCTTCTCTTCTTCTTTCTTCTTTCTTCTTCTCTTGAATTCTTGATTTGATCCACAAATGTACCTATAACCTGCTGCTGTTCCTTGGAGTATATTTTTGTTGCAAGAAAAAAGTTGGATAATTTTAAGGAGTACTAGGCGTTTTGGAGGATGGGCTCCATAAAGCCTGTTATTTACCCAAAAAAATAAACACTTTCTGTTTCAAAACATTCTGGATAGAAATACAAGTATACAACGATGTAATGTGTGTGCGTGTGTATGTGTGTAATATATCACGATGAAATATCTTGAATTGCGCGCTATTTTTTTTGGTGCAGCTCTCATTTTGATGTAGTATTTCATCCTGAAAATGTACACACATGTAAATTATCTCTCCGGTTGTATGTGTATTTTTTTTGGCAGATTTTTTTGAAACACAAAAGTATGAATTTTTAAAACTTGTCCTCCATGGAGCTCGAGCTCTGTTTAGTATTTACGCGTTTTAAGCTCCTACTACAGTATGAAGGCTGGTGCAACAGAGTTCCGGGTCTGCTTCCGTTAGAGCAAATGAATGAACCAAATTTTAGGTTAATAATCAATTAAAATCCGTATAAGTTAGTACGTACGTGTGTGACTGAAAACATCAAGTCAGGGCTGCAAGTTGGTTTGGTCAGAGGTAGCAATTGATGCTTGATGCGCCGAAAGACGCCATGGTTCAGCCATCCATGTTTATGCAGTTGTGCCATTAAGCCGACATTTGAGCTTTGAACCAAGAATAATGTACTACGTTGTGGGAAGACGAAGATGAGACGTGAGAGGGACATCCTCGCTTGCTGTTCCAGCTAACGGGCATGGACATGAAGAAGCAGGACTTCACTTCGGATGGTTGGTGCGCGGTAGTGATCAGAAGCATGGCTTAAGTGAGTGGCAGTTAGGGATTGGGTTCCATGTAAACTAGGCCTACATTGCTTGGTTATATCGAGAGTATTAAGAGTGGAACATTTATGTTGCAAGGCTAGGTCTAGTAGGGTCCTTTCATGTAGGGACACCTGTTTCTAATTAGGATCACGCGTGCATGAATGAGATCCTTTCATGTGAGGGGGCAAATCAGGACAACATGTACCAAATCCTCAAGTGGTTTTGTAATAAAATTTACACATTTGAGAAACGTCGGACCCATAAAATTTTCATCGGCGACAGTCAATCTCGGATGAGGCCGAAGGGGAGGTGACGTGGGGAGCACCGCCGACCCCGACTAGGCCTAGCCAGGACCTCGTCGAAGACACATAGACGGTGCCGTGAGCAAAGTGAGTTG